AGAATTACATGCTGAGTAAGAACACAAATTCCAGAGGAATTCAAAGGGCCTGAATACAAGCCTTGATTTCATCATTTAGTAGCTATGCAACCTGAGCAATGGACTGAATCTTTTTTTTAAGTTATAGGGATGGAACCCAGGGTTTTTCCAATGGTATTCGAATGCTGTATCACTGAGATACACCAGAGGCCAACATTAAACCCCCTGGTGGCCCAAGAACTTCATCTGGAAAAGGATGGTGTCAGGGTTAATACAGTCAACTTGAATCACCAAAGACAAGCCTCTGGGCTTCCCTGTGAGAGACTCTCCTGTTTAGTTCATTGAGATAGGAAGTCCCACCCTAACTTTGTGGCACCATTCCTTTGACTGCTACAGTCCTAGACTGGATTTAAAAAAAGCCAGGCGTTGATGATGCACGCCTTTAATCCCAGCACTGGGGTGGCAGAGGCAGGTGGATCTCTGTGAGTTTGAGACCAGCCTGGTCTACAAGAGCTAGTTCCAGGTCAGCCTCCAAAGCCACAGAGAAACCCTGTCTCAAAAAACCAAAAAAAAAAAAAACAAAAACAAAAAAAACCAAAAAACTCACATAAGTCAAGCTGGATTCAACCTCCTTACAAGGACCTTGAACCTCCAATCCTCCTATGTCTAACCACCAAATGCTAGGATTACACCTGCACCCCATGCCCAGTTTATGCAATGCTGGGAATTGAACTCAGGGCTTCATGTATTTGCATATGTCTACTAAGCAAGCATCCTGCCAACAGAGTTACATCTTCAAGTCTTCCACTCTCTTTTCATTGTTTCTCTTTGTCTTTCCAAAGATGACCACACCTCTGTCTGTCCTCAGTCTTTCTGTGGTACAATATCCAGGACAGTTGGAAAACTGAGTACATTAGTGCATGTCTGTGATCCCATGGAACCTGAGGCTGGAAGAGTTGCAATTCAAGGCTAGCCTTGGCTACATAGTAAGGCCTTGTCTCATAACAATAGAAGGAGCCAGTTGTAGTGTCACACACTGGTAGGATATGCTGAAGAGGCAGAGGCAGGAGGATCATGAGTTTGAGGCCAGCCTGGGCTACACATTGAGGCTAGAGAGATGGCTCATTGGTTAAGAGTGCGTGCTGTTCTTCGAAAGAATCCACCTGGTGGCTCAGAACCATCTGTAACTCCAGTTCCAGGGGGTCCAACACCTCCTTCTGATCTCCATGGGCAACACGCATATACACGGAGCACATACAGATACATGCAAAAACACTCACATAAAGAAACAAATCTTTAAAATGAGGGACAGAAACCAAGAAAGCTTATAAAGTTAATTGGAGGTTGCTTTGTTCCTGAGAAAGAGCAAACAAAGGAGATTTTGGAAGGGGCTATACTTTACTATGGATGCATAGTGCTGATTTTACTTAAATCTACTCATTGGTGCTAATTATGAGCCAGATGGTATTCTAAGGATTTTCCAGAAAAATATGCTTATCTAATGCTCAGACGAAACCAGCACAATCGATTCTTACTGCCTTTACTAGTTACTTGCCATGATAAAATGCCTGGCAAAAGCAACTTAAGGGAGAAACTGCTTCTCTTGTCAGAGTTCAGTCCCTCACAGCTGGGAACCACAGCTGCAGGAGCTTGAAGTAGCTGATCACATGATCACACTGAATCCACAGTCAGGAATAGCAAGTGACAGTGACATGGTGGATACTTACCGACTAGACCCTCTGGCTAGCCAGGGAGCCCCAGGATCCTCCTGTCTCCACCATCTAGAGCTGTGAGTTCGGATTACAATTATGTGGTACCATACACAGCTTTTTCAAGAGTTCGGGAGATCAACCTTCTTAGGGCCTCATACTTACGCAGCCTGCACTTTACCAGCTGACGATCTAGCCAGCCTCTCAGCCTCATGTACCTGAGGCTGGCCTCAGTTTGTCGCTGAGGCTATGGCCTCCGATTTGATCCTCTTGTGTTCATCCATCTCCTGAGTGTTGGGATTATTGACACCTCTCACTGCTCATGGTTTACACAGCACTAGGGATGGGACCCAGGGCCTGTGTACGCTAAGCAAGCACTCTACCAACTGGTCTATATCTCCAACCAATCTCAATTCTTGCTCCGCCCCACCACTACACCTTGAACTGTGGTCATACTGAGCCTTAGCAGGTTGGGTTCCCACTCTCTGGTGGGTGCCCTCCTGAGCTCTACATTTTCTATCCTAATTTGTTGTCCCAATTTGAGTCCCTTTCTATCGCCTCTATGAAGCCTTGCCATATATTTGCATTGTAGAGGTGCTGGGGCTATACCACAGCAGGGAACACAGCAGACTTGACAGAGCGAGTGCCCTGTAAGGCCCCTCACCAACCTCCGCTTGTGTCTGGGATGTTTTCTTTGTGTCACAACTGCTTCTTTTAACAGACTGTGGGCATCCTGAGTACGAGACTTCTGTTTTAGCCATTTTGAATCCCTATTACACAGTCCAAGGAATGCATCATTAAATATTGGTCAGCTTCATTTACTCATAAAGACTCACTGAGCAATCTTATAGCAAGAACATAGAAGGCACACTGCTTATGTAAGAGCGATAGAGACACCATCCCTTCCTGCTTGGTTTGCCTAGGTTGCTTGGGTTTTGTTCATTTGAGACAGGGTCTTGCTGTGCAGCCCTAGCTGGCATAGTACTTGCTATGCAGCCCAAGGTAGCCTCAAACTCACCCAAATACACATGCTGCCACCTCCCAATGCAGGGACTACAGGAATGAATCACCATGCCAAGATGATTACTGCCCTTTTAGAACCTTTAGGGCTCCTGGGAAAGATTAAGCACTTGAATAAATGAATGAATGAACCAACCAACTACAGGAACATCTCCTCCCACATGAATAAAACAGCCCAGAAAAGAAGAAGTGAAAGGCTGGTGTTTTTGTAGTTAGAGGATGAGGACACCTCCCTCCACACAGAGACCTCCAAAGACAAGGAACTGAGCAGACAGCATGGAGTCTAATCTCCAAATTTGAATCCTAGCTCCAATATTTAGCAGCCATGTGGCTTAGGTTAATCCTATAGGGGTGAGAGTATTATAGCATGCTTATTATTTAATGAAACACCGTCTTTTTTATTTGGTTGGTTTGGTATTTGAGACAAGGTCTCTGTATAGCCCAGACTGGCCTTGAACTCAGCCTCCTGGTGTTGAGATGATGGGTTTTCACAAGCCCAGGATAATGCATTTTAGATGGTTGAGTGAGTGCTCAGACCCAGCTGGGGCTGGGGGGCTGTAGATAATCGCCACCTGTTGGGGAAGCCTGTCACTTTCTTCTGTGGTGTGCTACAGATAATTTGTCCCTTTAACACTAAATAATCCCTTGCCCCACTCCATAAATAGCTCTAATTAAAATCAGTGGAGATTCATTGAGATACCACTGGAATCTGGAGGGATGGAGGGGGGGATGGGGAATGGGGATGAGGGAGGGGAATGGGGGTGAGGGAGGGGAATGGGGGTGAGGGAGGGGAATGGGGTGAGGGAGGGGAATGGGGGTGAGGGAGGGGGATTGGATTTGTGAAGGTCCTGGGTGTGAGAAAATGACTACAATTTATTTTATAAATGTACAAAATTGTCAAACAATTTTTTAATGGGGAGGGTGGTTGGGAGTAGTGGCACACTGGGAAGGCAGAGACAGGAGGATCTCTGGGAATTCAAGGTCAGTCTAGTCTACATAGTGAGTTCCAGACCAGCCAAGATTACATAGTCGGACCTTGACTCAAAAAGAAGGTAATAAAATAGAATATTTTTAAACATGGGAGGGGAATAATGTTTTTGGCAGGTCTCAAGTCAGAAACACAGCATAAGGGTCAGGCCCTAGGCCTGGCCGAGTTTTAGGCCTTCAACTAGAAGTTGGTCTCCCCGCCCCTTCACACCTTCTGGCTTCCACCGGCTTCAGTTCAGTTTACAAGCCACCTAAGGTTCTGGGTTTGTCTTCTCTATCTTTACAAGCCTATGGCAAGGTTAGGGAGGGGAGTGGCTGAAAAGGGGACAAAGGAAGAGAAAGCATAGATGTTTATCCAGGCCCCACCGAGTGCCAGTCACCCAGCCTGCTCTAGATTCAGCTAGTTCCTTATCATCTTTCAAAACAAACAAACAAAACACAACCCATGATCTTAGCGATGAAGACACTAAGGACTAGGAAGTAAATAGGACATGTGGGTTAGGAATCCAGGCCTCTCTGCCACTGACTGGACTCCCACAGAAGTCTCGACCATGCCCTGCTGCCTGCCTGTCAGCTTGTAGATGTGTGCCAGTAAATTTCAGTTTTCTTATTCACAGGAGAAGAAATGGCGCGCTCCTGTCTCCAGACAACTGAAGTGCACGCTCAACCAATGAGTAAACAATAATAAATGGATGCTGGCTTGAGGGAGTGAAATCCCTCAGGTGTCTGTACCAGGAAGTAGGAAACAGTCCAGGGGAGCTGCCTTTCTGGAAGTGGTCAGACTGTTTTCCCGGCAATCCCCCTCAGGGCAGGGGCAGAGGCTGGGGAAGCACAGGGTAGGATGGTGGAGACAATACCTGCGGGTCTGGTTGCAGGTAGTTAAGTAGTAGAACACTTATCTGGCATGCTAGTACACACAGCACGCGCGCGCGAACACACACACACACACACACACACACACACACACACACACACACACACACACACACCAGCACTCCTCCCGCCAAAAATGAAAATAAACCCCTGGAGTTCCATGATGATGCTGCGAGAAAGTAATGAAGTGAGTGGCAGTGCTTGAACAATCAGTGAGGAAGCAGGATTAAACTCCCTGTTCCCCTCCCCAGCCATTTCCAAAGCGCTACCAACTTTGAAACGAAGTTTCAGAACCCGAAGCTACCACTCTAGGTTCTTCAGGAAGGTAGATTCTGGAAGCAGTAGCATCAGCTTTTGTGCCTCTGCCTGGAATTCCTGCCACCAGCCTCGTATTTCAGCACTCCCATCGCCGTCCCCAGTCCCTGCACTTACCTGGGGAGACCAAGGCACAGTCGTCCCACACCGCAGTCCGAGCTTGCTCTTCAAGCAACAATTGGAGCTGCCTGCTGGCCCGAGCTGCAGCCTTCCAGGCTCTCCTTTTGCCTTCCCTGAACTAAAATCGTCCAGACAAGTTCCTAAAGAGGGAGGGAGTCAAAGGAAATTCCCTCTCCGCCTAGTGGCCTGGCCTAGGCTGGGCCAGCCTGCTAGGCAGTCTCTCCTGGGCTGGCCCTGGATGAATGAGCACTGGCCTCCTCCTACTTGGGTTTGTGCCAGGGAGCCTGTGACAAGCCGCCCTGCTCTTTCTCCTGGGCGCTGCTATCTATGCCTCCTCCTGGTCCTATGCTACTGTCTGTGACTGAGCTGGCCTTCTGTTCTCAGGTCTCTGGGAAAGGCCTGAATTGTGAGATCTCAGTTACTTTGCATGGGATGGTTCTAGATCACACTCTGGTGTGAACCAGGCCTGGTACTCCACAAAATGACTCGATGGCTCTGGACAGAAGTTTAGTCACAAGGCTCCAGGGTTCTGCCCACAGACGGTATGTGCCTTCGACCCAGTGCAGTGGGCTTGCCAGTCTAAATGTGTAGAGGATGACTGGCCTTGTGCCAGGTCCTGACAGCAGGGAAGTATGTTATGTTAACCTGGTGCCTGCCCTCCTGCTTTACTAGCAAGACAAAGAACAAAGTACTCCTGCTGAAGGTTTGCCCAAGATTCAGGCAGCATGACCAGGGAGGATTTCCCTGTGTGGAAGAGTTCTCAGAGGTGACATACGAGATGAGCCACTGAAGTTCAGAATTGTGAGCAAGAAGTGTCAGGCCAGGAAGGGCCTTGCAAGGCTTGCTGGGAAGTATTCAGACTTTATACTCAGACATGGAAAGACTCAGAGAGGCAGAAAGCTGAAGTCAGATTCAGCTAGGATTTATTTTCTGCACTGGGGATGGAACCTAGGGTCCTATATGCCAGGCAACTGCTCTACCACTGAATTACATCTTCACCTAAAAGTGGCATTTTAGTTTTTTAACAAAATAGAAATAACTAATTAATTTTATGTGTATATGTGTGTGCTTGCTTACTTGTTTGTGGACTCTGTGTGTGTGTGATGTGTGGTGTGTATGTATGTGGTGTGTGTGTATGTGGTGTGTGGTGTGTATATGTGGTGTATATGTGTCTGTGTGTGTGTGTGTGTGTGTGTGTGTGTGCGCGCGCGCGCGCGCGTGTGTATCCACAGGTGCTGGAGGACATTGGATTTCCTGAATAATGGAGTCCTAATCCAGAACACTGATCAGGAGTGTAGAAAGGAAGGGAACAGAATCAGAGGTGTTAAGAGGAAGGCAGATTGAGAAAAGAAAAACAAACAAAAAAAGGAAGGCAGAGTATGGTGGCACATACTTATTCTAACACTTGAGCTGTGGAGGCAAGAGGATCACGATTTTGAGGTAAGCCTTAACTACATGGTAAGACTTTGTCTAAAAGAAAAAGCTGGATATATATCTCAGAAATAAACAAAACAGCTGCCCAGCACGTGGGAGGCCGTGTTTAATACATAGCAATGTAACCAAAAAAAAAAAAAAAAAGTTAAGATTGTAGCACTGGATGCTCTTCCAGAGAACCCAGGTTCAATTCCCAACAACCACATGGCAGCTCAAAAGATCTCCTGTTCTGAAGGATCTGACGCCCTCTTCTGGCCTCTGCGGGTTCTACATGCATATGGCGTACAGACATACATGCAGGCAAAACACCCATACACACAAAATAAATTAATAATTTTGTAGTGTAATGTCTAACAGAGGAGTCTGGCTATCTAGAATGAATCCCAGGTGTCATGTCTATTTTGGTTGCCAACTTGACTACAGCTGGAATTAATTAAAACCCCAAAATGGCTGGGCACACTTGTAAGAGATTTTTGCTTAATTAAATCATCTAAAGTGGGAAGATCCACTTCTAATCTGGATCTTTGAGGTGGGAAGACACATCTTTAATCCAGATCTTTTGAGGGTGGAAGACCCACTTCTAATCCGCCACACACCGTCTGCTGGTAGCCCACACAAAGGACATGGAAGAAGGAAGCCTCTCCCTGCCTGCTTGCCCTTGCCCTCACTAGCAAGTCCATTCCTTCACTGGCATTAGAGGCCACTTCTTCAGGATCCTAGGGTATATCTGAAGACCAGCTGAGATATCCAACCTGGTAGACTTAACTGGATTCTTGGACCTGCTGTTCGTAGGCAGCCATTGTTGTTGGGTTAGCTGGACCACAGCCTGTCAGATATAAATTTTATAAGTCCTGTTACTCTAGAAAACCCTGACTAACACAGGGATAACCTGTATTACAGGTTGGATGGTACTCGCCGGGAAAGTACTGCTGAAGGGAATTAACTCTGTTCTGGACTTGTGGGTTCAAGAATACCTGTGCAAAAGGTCCAGGAAGCAGCTGTTCCATAGAAAGATAACCCATTCATCTCTGAGGTACCCAACAGGAAGGAGAGGTTGCATTCAGCTAGAATGAAGGGAAAGTAGTGAATAAGGCTGTTACAAATGCCTTATTTGTAGAGGAAGCAGATCCTGTTCTTAGCACACCAAACAGGACACAACCACCTGGAACTCCAGTTACAAGGGGTTTGGTGCCCTCTGACCATTGAGGTCTCCTGAATGTACATGGTAACATAAACTCATGCAGCCACACGTACCTATGAATATGAATCATTTTGAAAGTCAATTTACAGAGATCTGGAAAGGGGAAAGGAAACAGCTAAGAGCTGTTGAAGATCCAAGAACCATCAGTGGGAAGCCTTTACCACCTCTGGGTCCCCAGGGACAGTAAGTAGCAGTGTTGGCTGAGCTCAGTTTGAGATGGAGTTGGAGACAAGGAAAACAGTCACTGATGGAGCAAGCAGGACCAGGGAAATTATACCCTGACCACTTCCTTCCCCCACTTTTCTGGTCCCCATCCCTCTTTTTTTTTTCTTAGATTTTATTTATTTATTATGTATGCAACATTCTGCTTCCGTGTATATCTGCACACCAGAAGAGAGCACCAGATCTCATAACGGATGGTTGTGAGCCACCATGTGGTTGCTGAGAATTGAACTCAGGACCTCTGGAAGAACAGTCAGTGCTCTTAACCTATGAGCCATCTCTCCAGCCCCCATCCCTCTTATTGGCTGCTGTTCCCCAAGGCACAGAGCACCCTAAGAATGGGTGGGGGTCTCGAGAGGCAGCAAACAGCTGAGAAAATAGAGATTTGAGACGTGCAGAGAGTATGGTGTCACACACACAGAGACCAGCCACAGTGAGTCCCAGCCCACTGAACGCTATGTAATGAGGCTTATCTTTAAAAAGGGCAATTTGCATAGAAATGGCAAAAGAATCCATGTAAAAAGATGGGTCACACAGGGAGGGAAATCAGAGAAAAAAAGAGGCTCTAGGACAGGACTCTAAAGTATACCAACGGGAACATGCTGAGAATGTAGCCATGGAAAGCTAGGACAGGGGCCAGAGCCCAGAGCTGAGCGTCCTGACCATGCAGGGACTCATTGGTAAGGAAAGTAGATGAGAATTGGGCCACAGTATCGTATCGTGGGCTGTTCTGAGCACTAGAGATTGATTGCTGGGGCTTTTTGCAAAGATCTTTATAATTACTTGAGAGACTTGAACTCAACTCCTCCTTTTTTTTTTTTTTTTTTTTTTTTTTTTTTGACACATGGTTTCTCTGTGGCTTTGGAGGCTGTCCTGGAACTCGCTCTTTAGACCAGGCTGGTCTCGAACTCACAGAGATCCGCCTGCCTCTGCCTCCTGAGTGCTGGGATTAAAGGCGTGCGCCACCAATGCCGGCTCCTTTTTCTTTTCTTTTTTTCTCAAAGTAGGTGACACAAGTTACTTGCCAGGTGTTAGAGGGTGAGGGCTGGTGGGAAGAAGGAAAGTGTCACTGCCAAAACAGATGAGACTGCAAGCAAAGCAAGCAAGGCGATGAGGAAATGAGGCTCACGGATGGGTACCAGAATCCAGTCAAAGGGCACACAGCGACAGTCAGCAAGAACAATAACCTAGGACAATCAATACAACGTGTGTGACTCAAGATGGAGCCACTAACTTCAGCTCCTGGGACTAGGTGGAGACTGAGCTCTTTTTGTTGTTGTTGTTTGTTTGTTTTTTGGTTTTTTTGTTTGTTTGTTTTGTTTTTCGAGAAAGGGTTTCTCTGTGTAGCTTTGGAGCCTATCCTGGCACTCGCTCTGGAGGCCAGGCTGGCCTCGAACTCACAGAGATCCCCTACCTCTGCCTCCCGAGTGCTGGGATTAAAGGCGTGCGCCACCAACGCCCTGCGCCCTGCGCCCTGCAGAGACTGAGCTCTTAAACACAGTGGAAACTATATTTAGAAAGAAGGGGAGAATGGAAGGGGACAAAGAAGAGAGGGAGGAAAGAAGAGGAGGGAGGGAAGAAAGAAAGAGCCTTGTGGATCCAAGAACAGAATGAACATGAGGAGGAAAGGAATCTCACTCCTTGTTCAAGTCTCAGTCTCTGAGAGTGGAGAATTGCAGCATAATTACCATTTGCTGCGGTTACCTATAGAGATAATAATCCTTTTATATAGACATTTCAACTAAGAATGACCATGCTTAAGGTTCAAACATGTGTGCTATTTCTCCTCTCACTGTATAGCCTTTCTCCCAGTACAGTCTTATGCCTTTCCCAGATGTCAACCTGCGATTTTCAAGAAGTTTCACAAACAAGTCTATACAATTAAAGACTTGTCTTAACCGTCCTTGCAAACTCTGTGACCCATGATTTGACCTTATCAGGTTGTAATCATAGCCAAGTCACTAAGGTAACCATCCCATGATCTCATTCACCACAAAGAAGCCGGAGGAAGAGAAACCCCTCAGAATCTCTCTGAATAAGGTGATTTCAGGAACACCCACCCTATCAGCAGCTGGGGGAGCACCAAGAGCACCCAGGAAGCAACAGGTCTCAAAACTGCACCACGGAGAGTGGTTGTTTCATGGATCTAGGCTGCAACCAGCCTTTGTTTGGATTTCATGAAGAACAGGCTACTTAATGGGAGAGAATTGGCCATGTGACTTCAGAGAAGCATCTACCCACAGCCAATGCACACACAAGACAGGGAACCTTAGGAAGCAAAGCTGAGTCCTATTTCTCTCTCCATACTGGCCAGAACCAGACTTGACATTGAGTTAGGATTTCCAAAGGTGTTAGCAAAAACAGATTTG